GATGCTACTGATTATCAAATGAACAAGGGCGTTTGAGTTTTTGTTTTTTAAAAGCACAACTATAAATATGCCCAGAGAAGCTGTGGGTGCCCCATCCCTGGAAATGTTCAAGGTAAGGTGGGATGGGACAACATGGTTAGGTGAAAGGTGTCCCTGCCCGTGGCAGGAGGGCTGTAACTGAACTTTAAGGTCCCTTCCAACCTGGTCTATGGATCTATGACTGATCTGTGACTCTAAACCATCTTTTTTTTTTTTTTCTTTTTTTTCTTTTCTTTTTTCTCAGCTATACTTGTATCAAAATAATTGGGAAAGAAGATATTAAGCAGGAGTTGCAGATGATGAAATTCCAAGAGGACTGCACATACTCGCTCATTTATCTTTCAAACACAACTCTGTCACACTCTAAGTTTGGCACATCATGCCTAGGGTGGGCCAGATGGCTTTTCTAAAGAATTACATTTGTACTAAGATAAAAAATAGCTAGTTGCTGAAATGATGTTGAAACTGAAGCACCGAGTTTTACATTGGATGCAAACACAAAACAGCCTAATATTCAATATAAAAAATAAAATAAATCTATTGCTTTGATTCTAAATGGAATAAAAAGAAGCCAGAAAAGAAACAAGGGCACTTTTATGTCAAGCAGAGAACAAAATATCAAACAGAATGAAAGTACACATCTCTTGGGGTTCTAAACATGACCATGGTGGTCATACTGGGACACACAATCTTACCTTTTGGTTTGTTTTTCATTCCATAAAGTATTTGAGCTTGCCAACACCTTGTGCTACAACCCCAATTACAAGGTGAATTCAGGCATTCATACACTGTTGAAATTCTCAGTATTTTACTTTCTTGCTTTTTTAATTGATCTGGAAAAGGAGCAATCAAGACTTTTTGGGAGCAGGGGGATGAGCAATTAATCTCCATGTGTATGTGGCATAGTCAGTGCACAATATACATGAATTTTTCCAGGTCTCCATAGGAAACTGCTGGCATGGTGCCTCTGAAGGCTAAACTATAACACATCCCAGCTGTGGGCAAACAAATGGCTTTGGCACCTACCAAAAGATTTCTCCTGATGGAAATTTTTTTATTGTCTTTTTTGTTAAGCACAACAAAATGTTATAATGTAAAAAAAAATCAAGCAGGCGGCACATTGGTCAAATCCTGAAAAGTGAGGAGAAATTGTTTGTAATTTCCTCACATGTGCCCAAAATTTGTCAAGAATTTCCAATTAAAATCCTTCTCTAGTTTTGGTGTTGGAGTTGTGGAGGTGAATTCTTAGCACAACTCTTACACTGCAAGTTTATCTTTCCTTCAGATGGGAAAGGTCCAAAACCAGGGCCCACAAAAAAACCCTCTGCCAGAATTTGCAGCACTAAAAGCTCATTTATGTCTGCAGAAGAAGAGTAGAAAGCTTAGAAAGCTTGTTTCTTTCCCTATCCATGAGCAGAACAAAGGCATTTGGAACAAGCCCAGGTGTTATCTGTTTGAGATATATTTGTGCAGTGAGCAGCTCCTGCAAAGACTCCTATACCAAAACAATTCAGTGTAACTTGGAATGGAATGGTGAAACCATGATAGTTGTATGCCTTAGCCATGGAAACAGTGTAAACATGAAAATAGAGGGTCCAGTGAGTGCCTTTAATTACTCTAAATTCCATATAGATGTAAAAAACAACATATGCTTTCTCTTTAAGGAACTCCTTCAGTAGAATTCTATGCATATCTAAGCATTAAGATCATGTATGCTCACATGTTTTGCAGAATCAGGACTGCAGATTTCTAAATCTCCCTAAGAAAATACAGCAAACAATTGTTTATTATTTCATATATGTTGTTAGGGAATAATTGACATGGAGTTAATGAAAAAAATCCCAACAAGATTCGTGTGTAGAATTTTCATATGAACTGTTTAAATAAGTATAATGAAAAAAATATTTGCAGTGAAAATGCAAATCATTCATGGTATATTCTGGACGCATAAAAATGATGCACTTTGATACTTACTGAAAGTTACAGAAGAAAGTTAACAACCACAAATTGGCACATGTTTGAAGGAATAGCATATGAAAGTAAATAGTCTCTTAAAACAAAGACTTGAAGAAACATTTCAGAGAGAGCTGGGGAGGAAAATGGCACATTTCTAGTATGACCCTTACAATAGCTAAATGGGCTTAATTGGTAACACACAATAATTGCTGTTTTAAGAGTGACATTACATTGTCTGCAAAATACATTAGAAAATTGCAGGGCAGATTAAAGAAAAGTAATTGCATCATAAATGCAATACATACTTTTGAAGTACTGTAATTCTAGATGGAATGGAATGGAATGGAATGGAATGGAATGGAATGGAATGGAATGGAATGGAATCTTTCAAAGATATCAAGGATGAATGCCAAAGGAAGAAAAGAGCTATCCAAGTGCAAGGAAAAAATTGGTGAAGAAGACACAACAATTCTGTACTTCTTTCCGAGAAGACCTCACCATAAGTGGTTTTGTAGCAAATTTCTCTTGGTGTACTGTAAGGAATGGTGAGGAAAGCTTGCATGTTTTCTACATCTCTGCAAAGCTCCAGACATCAAACAGTGAATGTACAGGGTGCAAATGCCCTTATTTACATATTCTGAACATACAGACAAATTTTGGAGCTAAATTACAAAATGGCACAAAATAACATCTTTCTTACTAGTTCAGGACTCAAAATACTAAATCATAAAGGAAAAAAAGATTTTCTAGGGCTTTAGATAGGATTTTAACTTCTTTGCTCTAATCAAGGTAAGCAAGCATCTCTAAGAAAGATTGAAGTCACAAGCTGTGGAAGTTTTGACCCATGGCTGAAGCATGTTTAATGTCCTACAACCATGTATATCCATGGCCAATGGGTGTTTAATGAAGGATTAAAACACCTTGGTTTCACCGGGACAAGGGGATGTGACAATGAGAGCAGCAATGGGGTATTTACTCCATTTGGAAGAATTCCTGGCTGTACTTTGGGTGTGGAGCCAAATATTGCAGGTCTGAAAATGGTCAGCCTTTCAGGCCCAAGGACCCACCCTGGGCGCTTTCCCTGGGAGTCTACAAAGCTTCCTCTCCTTGGATGTGGACCTCTGAAACAAACCCAGAAAATTAAAATTCCATTTCTACTTTGTAACCTCTCCGTGTCCTTTAAAGTGATTAAACAGCTGAAAACCCCCTGGAACTTCAAGTAAGAAACGGGCTCATTGTTATTTGACTCATAATGAGTGCAGGGCATAGAATGGAACAGAACAGAACAGTTACTTTATTTACAGAGCTCTGCATGACAAGGTATGACCCAGGTCTGAGGGCTCCATCCTGGAGAGCAGCTCTCTGCAGTGCAGGTCCCAGGCCCACCCAGGGGAGAGGGGCAGAGACAGGCACACCTACAGCAGGGTTCAGGCACAGACTGAAGGTGCCAGGATGAGCTGGGACACATCCCCTGGGCCATTAGCAGGAGGTGGTGGGGTTGGGGGTCCCAGGGGAGGGAACCTGACAGAAGTAAATTTGCACTACTCATAGTTTAAGAGATTGGTGATTGTCCACTTTGAAGTCAGAGTATTGGGCCAGATGGACCTTCCCTCTGAGAGAGTGCTGCTGTTTTGGCTCTTGTGGTTTAGTATGTCTTCGCATGGGAAACAGCATTTCGCACATTTCTAAAAATGAGTATGAGAAGAGAAAAAAAATTCCATGGGCAATGAACAGGTATTGCTCACTTCCAAAAAACATTTAAACTTTTAGTTCAGGAGCATGTCCTGCTTGAGGTGTGGGGTTTTGCCATCCTGAGGAAACCTAGAGAAAGTGGATGAGCACAGAAGACTTTCAAAAACTACACTCCACACCTGATGTCTGCAAATTTGCACAGATGGCCAAACGATCTCAAGATGATCCCCAGCTCTCACCCACATCAGAAGGTGTGCACCTTTATCACATGGGGTGACAGAACCAATGCCTAGGCTGGGGCATGGTTATGGCTACTCACTCCCTTCTGGTAGTGCAGGGTTGGGAGAAAATGTCATCAGAAATTACCTCAGCACATGGTAGGGAAATGAGAGAGGGGAAGAAGAAAAGAAGGGATGTGCAGGCAGGAATAGTTAACCTGGAAAAGTGTCTATAAAAATAATCTAGTCTAACTGCCTGACCACTTCAAGGATGACCAAATGTTAAGAGCATTGTCCAGAAGCCTCTTAAACACTGACAGGCACAGGGCATTGACCAGCTGTGAAGTTCCTGCAAAGCCTGACCTCACTTACAAAGAACATACAATTCATATTTCCTCCTGACTTCCAAGAGGAGATCCCTGTTCAGCCAAGCTGGTCTTCTGAGACACTTTCTTGACTTGGGACACAACAGGATTATCTGATCCTATGCTGTAAAAAGGCAGTTCTTCAAAACTGACCACTCCACAGGACACCTTAGTCTGTGAAAGCAGATTCCAGGGGACAATGCTAACTGGCTCTCTGATCAGCTTCGAGTTTGCTCTCTTGAAATCTGAGACAGCAACTCTGCTGACCATTCTGCTTATCACACCAAAACCTCTAAATTCAACCACCTCAGGATGATTGTGATTAAGGCAGTCACCTACCATTACATCTCCCATGAGTCTTTCTCTACTCATAAAAAAATTGGTCTGAGGGCATCTTTTCTTGTTGTCTCACTGAATATTTGGAACAAGAAACTACCTTCCACAAACTTGAGGAATTATAGATCACTTATTCATGGCAGTAGGTTTATTTTTATTTTCCATCTTGTGTTTAAATTATTTATGATGACATACATTATTAACTCTAAAACTTATCAGGTGACACCTTATGAGGTGGATCATCTACTCTCCTGAATTGTTTTTTCAATCTACACAAATAAAATAGTCCTCCCTATCTGCAGGTTCAGCAGAAAATATTTACTGCAGATTTGAATTCAGCTGCTTCCTTCTGTTGATCTGCTTTCCACTGAATTTTGCATTCCTCAGCTCTTTGCATAGCTCCTTTCAATGAGAATGAAGAAGAAACATAGAAAGCATTTGAACTTCCAAAGGCCTCATTCTTCTTCAGTGACCAAAATGAAGTTGACCCTTCAGCATCCTTGGTATACTTCTGTGCTTTCTTATTCAAAACCCCCATGCTGGGGTCAGGGTGTAGAGAGTGGATACCTAGAAATACTAATTTAAAGTTTCCCTCTAAAAATTACTCTTACTTTCATTATCTTTCCAGCCTTACAGCCCTGTCCAGCTGAGCAGCAACCCTGTATAGTGAATTGAGGTATAGGTTTGTTTCAACATTTATCCTCCTAGGGGGTCTCACCCTATAAGACTATAGTTAGTCTTTACTAACTATAGTGTTCCTCAAGTGAAATTCTGAAAGCAAATTAAATGCTGAGGCCCTAAAGCCTCTGGAGCTTGGGGTCTAAGATTTAATTCTGTTTTAGAACAGGATTTTGGACTTGTCTTTTTTGCCCCCAAGCATATTCCTCATGAACAGCTAGCTCCATGTTCTCTCTAAATGAACATTTATCTGTTTGCTGCAGAATGGAAGAGCAGAAATGGGAGATAAAATAATACTTATGAATACTGTATACCCCATGAGAAGACTAAAGCATTATCCTGGAAGATGAAAGATTTACATTAAAATTCTCCTTCTGAATCAGTGAGAGAACGGACATGAACTTGGGAGAGTTTGGGTTCAGCTATTAAACTTCAAAATAAACTATTGACATGACTTCAGTTCTATTCTTGAACACATTCCCTACTTAACAATTGTTACTTTCTGTCTGGCCTTCAAGTAATGTCTGCTGGCAAAATATGTTTCCCTTTCAACAATCAGTCTCATGCTGCTCTTACTCTGAGAAAGCAGTTCCCTGGTCCTTTTGTGAGTGGAAGAGCTACTCCCAAAACAAAGTAAATGCCCTAAATCCAGGCATAAGCACAGTGGGACATGGGATAGGAGAAATTTTATAACTGAAGATCTAAACAACCAGTCTATGGGGGAACTTTACTGTTCTTACTGTGCCTGAAAAAGAGTTTCAAAGTGGGGATTATCTAAAAGATGTCTGCTGACAGCTGAAAAAAGCACACAGTTCCTTACCAGAATGCATCTCTTGGAGGAGAAAGTTTCACAGAAGGGCCAAATCAACTCAGCAGCCACTAGTTTCAATCTGATTCTAGCCAGCTGTCTCTGCAGCATGGCCATGGCTAAAGCAAGCAAGAAAAGTCCTCTGACCAAGGAGTTATCACCTGAAGGCTAAACCTCCATAATGAGGCCAAAGTCACTGACTCTTATCTCAGGCAGTTCAAGACTGGCTGCCAGTGTAATCCATCTGTTATTGCTCTGGTAGACCTGTTGTGATTGACCTGCATGTGTATGAGCAGCCCAAAGACACTTGCTACTGTCAGGTTTACAGAGGATAGATAATACAAACTACTCAGCAGCAGTCAGAGGCCTTGGAGGTCAGAGTAGAATGCTGGTACTTTGTCCAGTTCTGAGATATCAGCTTTGTTACTTTGAACCTCTCCAGCTTGCTTTACAATAGGCATTCTGCTAGTAGGTATCTGTGAAATGAGCTCTGTGTTCCTTTGTAGCCAGGTATACCAGCAACTGACAGATCTGTTCTGTATTGCTATGGCTAGTTCTTTTTGCCCATGTCAGTTTTCTGCCACAAGTTACTATATGGATTACCCTTATATAAGTCTCTAAAGGCAGAGATTAATGACTGCCTAAATGTATAGAATCCTGGAAAAATATTTAATATTTAAATATACATATTTAAATTATTATCAGTAACCATGTAGTATATAATAATATAGTAATATTATAATAACCAATAATACATATTTTTAGGTTTTATATATTAAATAATTTGATATCCTTCTATGATTAGATCAACTGCCTAGTGGATGAAGAGATGATGGGGGTGCGTTGTTTCTGGATTTTGATACAGTCCCTCTCAGCATCCTCTGGACAAGTTGTCTGAGTATGAAATGAACAAGTAGATGGTGCACTAGGTGAAGAACTAGCTGAAGGGCAGGGCTCAGTAACTTGCAAAGAATGAGGCTATATTTGGCTGGTGACCAGTGGTGTTCCCTGGTGCTCAGTGTGATTCTTGCCCTCACCTTTTAAAAAGGATGTTAAGGTACATGAAACTATCCTGAGGAGGGCAGCAAAGCTGGAGAAGGAGCCAGATGACATGTCCTCTGAGGAGTGTCTGAGGACTCTGGCCTTGTCTGGTTTGGAGAGGAGGAGACTGAGGACCTCACAGTTCCCCAAGAAAATGGAGAGGGAGGTGCTGAGCTCTTCTTCCTGGTACCCAGTGCCAGGACACGTGGGAATGGCTCAAAGATGCATCCATCAGATGAAGTTTGGATTTGATGTGAGGAGATATTTCTTTACTCAGATGGTGGGGAAATCTTGCAAGATGCCCTGTAGAGGTGGACAATGCTTCATGCCTGTTAGAGTTTAAGAGGCATTTGGAGAGTGCTCTTAGTGTCATGCTGTAACTTTTGGTCAGCCTTGAAGTCAGGCAGTTGAATTTGATGACTGTAGTAGATTCTCTCCTCTCCTCTCCTCTCCTCTCCTCTCCACATTTAATGTCAGAATTGCATTTAAACATACTGAAATGTTTCAACATGGACACACTGAAATAATTTCAACTGGTTGAAATGGCCTTTGAATGTTGGACACATGCATGTGGGATGTCTGTCCCCCTTCCAAGGATCAGCTATTGATCAGAGGTTTATATTGAATTCAGCTGCCACTGGTCTAGTCAGGCATTTGAGTGCAGTTGGAACTTAGCTAAAAATCAGATATTTGTGAATAACTATTACTCATCTTTCAGATAGAAATCTGTTATCAGTACAACTGAATCATCACCATCTTCCATAAATTTGCATAAAATTTTGTGAATCTGTTACTTCTTGCATTCAGTCAAATTTAAATTTGCATAAAATTTTGTGAATCTGTTACTTCTTGCATTCAGTCAAATTTATTTGAAAGAAGCTTGAGAGTTCAAAGAGAACTGGAATCTTCTGACAGATTCTTCTTCCATTTTTACTCCTGTTTCTGGCCTCCTCTGTTATTAAACTCTACCTCCACTTAGAAAATAGAAAGGCTGTCTATGATTTTTCATCCATAATGCTTTGGAGGTTTAGATCCCACATGAGGAATTCATTTCAGTGTAATCACTGGGAGTCATTGCTTTAGAAGTTTCCAACTTCTAAACCAGTAAGAGTTCAAGGCAGTCAGTCCCACCTACAGAGGGGGATGGAGTGATGTGATTGAGAAAGAAAGAAAAAAATTACTCTGCCATCCAAAAAAGTAACATCTACCATTATTTTGCACTGCCCTAATAATTGTTTCATTTTTACTATAAAAATAAAAGGGGGAGAAGGGAGGGATGATTTTCTTCACTATTTCTGTCACTTTAATGTCCTTATCCCACAGAGAAATATTTAGCTCTCCCTGCTCATGCTACGTTCTACATTTATGCATAATGTGTCACAAGGTCTTTATTTGACTTTTTATACCTTCAACTACATATTTAATATTAAAAGGTTTTTGTTTTTGTTTTTTTGCAATGCTAGCAATTAGAAAAGAAAATACTACTTAGGGGTCATAAGTAATATTAATTTAGAAAGTAGAGACAAAGAAAAAGCAGCAAAGAGAATGGAAGTGCTTTTTCAACTATGCAGAAATAAGGTAAGTGTTCGAATACTTTATCCAAGATTTATTAGTTATTTTCTATCAGCTTTAACAGAGCGAGATCACTTTATACTATCCAATTGTACAACATAATAATAGTAATTTTTATTTTTCTAAAGTTCCTGGAGAGTCATGCCTTCAACCAAGATGTGGACAGTCACCTTTCAGAACTTTCATCAGAACTTTTTAGTGGAAGAGGGAAGAAAAAATATGCAATGCAAATATTAGTCATAATTCTTATTTATAGTTGGAAATATATCTCATTGCTGATTATGACATGGTTAATGCTGGATTGTGATATTGTACTTTGCTGGTACACTTTATTGAAACTATCAGTAGCACATAAGACTTATTGATGAAATTATTCATAGAAGTAAAAAAAAAAGAAATCATGATTTTTTTAGCAAAGAAAGGACTACAACAGACATAAGAATTTTTACAATACACACTTCACTGCTTCATACAAGAAGAAACTGCCTTAGGCAGATCCATGTAATTTGACTCAACACATCCATTATCTATAAAAGAGTTTGATCTCCAGATTGGTGAACAAAAATTGCAACATTTACACTACTCAGCAACTAAAAGAACAAATCTGTTATTATGCATTTTGATAACTGCCAGACACTTCTTTGCTCAATAAAAATTATCAAAGTACCCACAAATCAAAACCAAAAGAAACACTAAATAGATGTAGAATTATTAGGATTTGCCCACGGGTAATTTTAAAACTAGCACAATGAATTTTCAGATCTTCTGCATTCAGCTTACTCCAGGGAGAAACAAATACAGCTATGTAAAGAAAACACAAACAATAATGTCTAAAACAAGTGCACCAATAATAGAAACTGATTTTTAAATGACAATACTGAGCCAAATACATTAGGAATACTCAGCCTAAATATATATATATATATTTAAATTTTTGCTTTGAAAACAAACATGCAATTTAATAACTATTTTGAAAGATTCAGTCTTGGCCTTTAGGCATTTCAGCATATTTTCAAAATCATGTCAAAATTTTCAAATATTGATTCTCAAATATAAAGAATGATACTTATGCATAGGGTCACAGATAGATTATCCTTTCAATGCTGATATTTCCTGTAGAGTTGGCAGATCAGTTCAGTACCTATAAATTGAAGTGTTTGGTTTTTTTTAATATGAAGAGATGCTGTCATCTTTGCAGATACTATTATGTAGAAGATTCTGAGGCATTTTAATCCAGATAAAAATTAAGATACCATGGGATCATATTTCTCTTCATAATTGTTGTTCCACTGAACATGAATTCTGTGTTAGTTTTACAGCAGCTACCTGAAACAATATTTGTCCTTTAGTTCACCTCAGAGAATCTGCATAGCTCAAGGACTCTGATTTGCAGAACCTAAATCTAAAGAAAATAGAAGTCTTTTGCTACTTTACTTTCACAGACCTGAATTAATGTGTTTTGTTTCTTTCTTTTTGCTATTTTATCTACTATAATTTTTTGGGTGTTTACTGTAACCATTTACGAAATTAATTAATTTAGTAAGGAATGTATAATGACATTATGCTGAAAAATAGTCCATATGATAAATGCATTATAAATACAAACATTTCCATAAATTAGAATCATCAGCTTTTATTAAATTAAACACCACACTTCTGTTACTGTTAATTATAAATGTCCAGCAAATAGGTGCAGAAGTAGATTATACTGTATATATGTTTCATATCTAAGGGAAATAAAATTAAACTTATGCATCTTCTCTGTCTGATAAAACTTCTAATAGTTAAGAAGAACATGAGAAAAGCTGAATTGTCAAAACACATCTATGTGCTCCAGTAACCTCTGAATACTAGGGTTGCAGTGGTGTAGGAGTCCCTTGCACTTGTCAAACAATCTACATACAAGGAGAATTGTGAGCTATTGACTCTAAC